GATTGGGACGGGGGGGGGGGGAGGTAGGGGTGGGGGGTGGGGGGGGAACTGGGTGGAGGGGAGCTATGGGGGGAAAAACGAGGAACAACTGTAATAATCTGAACAATAAAGATTTGATTAAAAAATGTGGTTTTTTTTATATTGTAAAATGAAAATGTGTAAACATCTGGTAAGTCTGCATAACTTAGTGAATTACGATTTTCCAAATAACCAATTGCATGAAATTATAATATAATGCATGAAAAAGAATCAAACTACAAAATAAACCAATGGTTTGGCATAACTGTATGAAAAGATCATTGGTACTTTCATTGATATTGTAACTAACCTTTAAGAAACTACTACTTAAAGAGCTTTGTTGTCATATCAAAGAATACATATTTGAGTAAGGCCAGATTTTCTTTGCATATTTCAACCAAACAACATAGTGCAACAAACTGAATACAGAAGCAGATCTAAGAATCCAGCTGTTCTTCTATTAAGCCAGGCATAAAAAATTTTTGCAAAAATGTAATGCAATGCCACTCTTGCACTTATTTTTGTTTGGAATAGCTTTTTATTATAAAATCACTACTGGCTCAGTGCACGGATTTGTGCACATTGAAAGGAAATTAATTAGAAGAAGGATTCATGCAATAATTACATTACTGCAAAAAATTACATGTCAAAATACTATCTACATATATAAAAGCCTAAGCGACTGAATGACTGGTTGCTATGACGCACACTCACCACCAGGGGGCATAAGCTCAATGCAGGAGCTGCCCCCTTGTGGTCAGTGCGCTACCACAGTGGGAGTGCCGCTCAGCTGACCAACCCGTCCTGGCGGCTCACCAGCCTGGTGGCAGCCACTCACTCCCTCAGTAGTCCTGCAGGTCCAATCTCCAGAGAACGGGCCACGCACTGACGGACCGGCACTGCTAGCACAATCCCTACAGCACCGCCAGCCTCCTAAAGTTGGCCTCAGGCACCATGGCTGTTTCCCCTCCCTAGACACTCTGCAAGGAAGAAATGATATAAAAGTGGTCGCTAGGTGGCTCCCAACAACTGGCATGAATGTCAACGGGATGTATCTGGATCCTGGGCCGGCAAGGGCGTACCACTGCCTGCCCGGAGGGCTGATCGCATCCCATCCCCCCATCCCCCCCTTTGGGATGGGCACCAGATGCAGGGCTCACAGCTGGTAAGCGCTGCTGTGGCCACCAGAGCCTCTCCTGATCGGGACTGACTGGACGCAAGCCCGCGGAAGGAGCAGTGGGGCCGGGATGAGCGGGAGCAGCAGCCAGTTTCGACCCAATCCCGCAGGCCACCCTGAGGGACCCCACCCGTGCACAAATTCATGCACTGGGCCTCTAGTATATAATATAGTACTATAAAATTAAAATACAAAATATTTTAATATTGCCATTCACCCTTTCTCTATAATAGAAGTGTCAGAGATGAAAAAAATTAGTAAAATGTATATAAGAATATATAACTTCATTAGTAAACAATATTCTGTCGACAACGTTGCTTTCTTTCGGCCTCAGAGGCACGTTGTGCCAATAGCTGGTCTTCAGACATATTCAGTCAACGACATCGCTTTCTTTCAGCGTCAGAGGTACATTGTGCCAATAGTTGGTCTTCAGATACATTATGGTGTCACATGTGATTGGCGCCAGTGAGAGCTTTATATGTATCGCGCCAGCGCGAGTCAACATTTATTTTTAAATTGCCAGTGCACGACATATGTACCGGCCAGCCAGCCGGTCAATCAGTCACTTAGCCTTTTATATATATAGATTTCTGATAACATAACATGTTTAGTATTATTGTTTTTAAAACGAATTCATTAACTTTTTAAACATTCTCAGTTTTAATTTCTAATGTGGTAAATGTTACTAGATATAATCCATCTAAACAAAAGCTTTTGGAGGTACTCAATCTCTAAAAGTGAAGAGGTTCCAAAGCCAAAAACACTGAGAACCTTAGCTATTAAGGCAAATTATTAGAAACCAAAGTTCTACGGTAAAGGTCCCATACATGAACAGCTCTGACCCCAGAATGATTGTATCAATTTATATCTCTCCCTGCCTATAATACAGACAGTCCTCGGGTTACGTTGGACTTGATGTACATCGTTTCGTGGTTACGTCACCATCTCCCATTTATTTATTAAAAAAAAAACAGTTCTGTCATCTCGACGTATGTATATACATGCTTTATGTTTTTTATTATTTATTTACCACAAGTAAAGGTCAGGAATTATTATCTTTCTTTAAATTTTTTTTTTTACTGTTTCACTTCATTACTGCTGTGTATGTGCTCCATGTGAGTGACATTGGGGCTTATGTAGGTGGGTTCCGACTTATGGCGAAAATTGCGTTATGTCTCGCCATAGGAACGGATCTCTGACATAACCCGAGGACCTACCGTACTGGGATAACATCTTTCTGGAAATGTAAAGCATGAGATTCCAATTCAAATTTTGGCAAGATTTTAATTTTGGGAAGGAAGAAAGCCCGTCTACTATAGCAAAGCCTACTTTCTACTTTTGAAACTCTTCTTCAACCTCAGATAGAGGACCAGCATTACAATCTGCCTACATATGGGCAGGGTGAATTAAAAAGATTCTGTGAAGAGAGTTAACAAAGCAGGTCTAAGATTGCTATCCTTTGAGAGGCCTGCTTACAAGGTTGTCCCTTGGGATATTGGATTTTGGGAGTTTCCACCATTCCCTAAATGATAAGAGTGGCTCTCTCTATGTAAGCTGTTTGCTCAAAATACATGGCTTATGCTGAAAATGTAGCTTTCCTTCTGGAAATCTGGAATTCTGGTACATGCTAGGCAGAGGTGCCTACATGACTAGCACCCAATAAAAAACTATGGCACTGAGAGAGAATCTAATGAGTTTCCTTGGTAGACAGCATTTCAAACAGATTGTCACAATTCATTGCTGGAGGAATTCAGTGTCCTGTATGACTCCAATGGAAGAGGATTCTGGGAAGCTTTTGCCTGGCTTTCTCTGACTTTGTCACAGATGACTTTCCCTTTGCTGATTTAGCTTTGTGTCCTTTTACACATCCGATGTAATAAGGGAAGTAAATTGTCACTGATTATCTAAGACTCTCACTTCTCTGATGCTTTGGCACGAGCTTCCAGGTAAGCTTCTGTTTTAACAGCAACACAAACCTTGATTAGTGCCCTCAGCAGAAAGAACAATGAATAGAGTAAGTGAAAAACAAGAATCTGAAAAGACATTTAACTTTCTGTTGCTTAACTATGCACAAGTGTATCCTGCCAATGCATGAGTTGGTTCACTTACCTTGGGAGAAATACTGGTTTCCGTGCCAGATGCTCACGAAGCTCAGGAGAGGTAGTATCAGAATTCATGTATCGCTCCACATAGTCTGACCAGCGCTAGGATTATAAACACAAAACAGGAGTGGGGAGAGAGCAAAAACCTGAGCTCTATCCTCCCTCATCAGCAAATTATATGACTAAAATGTCTAAAATTCCTAAAATTTCAAGATAAAAAAGATATGTTCCCATAATGACATGCTTGTTACTTGGTATTGAAACACAGCTTTGAAAGTCTGTTAGATCAGCTATTTTCAACCTTTTTCATTCATGGCACACATAAACTAATTACCAAGATTCTGTGGCACATGCTCTGGCAGGGTGGGTGGGTTGGAGCATCATCCTGTATACCAAAAGGTTGTGGGTTCACTTCCCGATCCAGTGCATATGGGAGGCAACCAATCAATGTTTCTGACATCAAAGTTTCGCTCTCTTTATATCCCCCCTCCCTAAAAAAAATATATATCCTCAGGTGATGATTAAAATAAAAAAATAAAAATTACAATTCTGTGGCACACCAATGTATTTTTTGCCAATATGACAAAAAAAAAAAATTAGGTATAATTTTGATTCAGTCACACCAGACAGCTATTATTATATTGGCTGTCATTTTTTTATTTGACAATCTAAAGGGAGAAGTTAGTGCTCCTAACTAAATAGGTATTGCATGTTTTAGAAATTTTTGTGGCAAACCAGTTGAAAGTCACTGCATTAGATAGCAAAACCCAGTTTCTCCCAGATACTTAAAAGTTACCAGAAGTCATAAATATGTATCAGATGGTTTATTCACAAGTTTTATTTCTTCACAGAGCATTTTTGTTAAATAAAATATTAGTGGCAAATGTTTAAAAATCAGTATCTTTCACATTAAAATCTGGACTTCTGGCATCTCTTTAAAAAAATTTAATGATTTGGCAACCATAAGCCAATATTCCCACAAAACAACAGTCTCCCTTCCATATTCCCCCAACATCATACATGTGGCTTACATCCTCATTAATATTACCAGTTAGACCCAGGTATGATAACCAACTCACTCTGTCTACTCTGTGGAGGTTGAGAACTCCTAGCTTCATCTAACCCAATAAAAAGTAAACATGACACAAAAAATCAAGATGAAACAGGGCAGATGCCACTTCATTTGTTGTTTCTTACACTTTAGGACAAAAACAGGAAAGGTGCCAACCATGAGGTTTCCTCAGAGGAGATGGCTTTACTGAGAGTAGCTAAGACTGCCATCAACCCCAAATAGCTACCTCCAGATAGCTCTTCTCTTCAGCTGAAGACATGGCTGAAATGATCTGTTCTTTAAAGAGCATCAGGTTCTGACCCTTAAGCAGACCTATGGCTGTCTTGGCCTTCTAGAAGACAATCAATGAGGAGTCTCACAGGACATGACCGCTCCCTCAGCAAAGCTTCTGCAATATACTTGTCATACCTCTGCTTCTACAGGGTCATCTGAGTTCTCCTCTTCTGTGTCCAAAAGCTCAATAGTCAGCTGAACCTGGCCTTGGCTCTGAATGAACATAAGCTGCAAATAAGAAACCTGAGTGTAAACAAAAGACCATCTCCAAAGCTATAACCCAGCTTCTTAAGGGTTGAGAGGCAATAAAGTCATACAACTCTGTTCCAATGGAAGAAATGAGGAAGACAAAAACTTAGGAGGCAGGTGATTAAAAAGGCAAAAGTTTAATCTTGCTACCAGGAAAAGGAAATGTTAGTGCAAAAAGCACCATTTTATATTTTATACTTCTTAAATTATCTAGAATAATCAATGTCAATAAGAGTGCTTTAAAGCCAAAACTATACAATGTCAAAGCCATTTCACTTGATAATCCCATTTCTAGGACTTAACACAAAGATGTAAACAAGTCTATAGTATCCTATATAATAAAAGCCTAATATGCTAAGTGTCTGGTTGACTGGTTGGCCGTTCAACCAATCAAAGCATAATATGCTAATGATATGCTAAGGCCACTCAACCGCTTGCTATGACATGCACTGACCATCAGGGGACAGACGCTCCAACCGGTAAGTTAGCTTGCTGCTGGGGTCTGGCCGATCGACTGAGCAAGAGGGGCTGGACACGCCCTGGAGCCCTCTCTCGGTCCCTCCCTGGCTGGCCAACCTCCCACGTTTCTCCCCGGCCCTGATTGTGCACCAGTGGGGTGCCTCGGCCTGGCCTGTGCCCTCTCGCAATCCAGGACCCTTCAGGGGAAGGAGAGCCGGTTTCAGCCCCATCCTGCAGGCCAGGCTAAGGGACCCTCTGGTGCATGAATTCGTACACTGGGCCTCTAGTTTTAAAAAAGAAGGAACCTTCTCAAACAAAGTGAAGATGAAAATATGAACACAACCAAGAGGAGCAACTGCATTTCCACTGCAATAAAGATTATCTGAGGTATCACACACACACCATGGGGGTAAGGAACACAAAACACTGAAGTATTAAGAAGTGATCTGCTATAATAGTATCAATCATATTGGAAGTTCTTCAAAAGCAAGTCATGTGCTGCACAAAAGAACTATCAAATGATGGCACATGGATATCCCCTTTCAAAAACCCTAGGACTCTCACTGTCCTTACCCTAAGGGATTGCTGCAGACAAGGTCATGATTCAAATCACATGGAATATCAGCACTTAAAAGGAAACTTGAGAATAATTTATTTCAACCTCCTTGGTTTACACAGAAAAAAACCCTAAAATTCAGAGAGTAAATAAGCAGGACTAGAAGCCAGCTATAGTTCCTGATTTGTTCTGGAGAAGCTTTAGAAATTCTTATCTGCTAGTCAAATTTAAAACATGACAAGAACGTAATATATACACAAACACAAACGAAGTTACTTCTAAAATAGATGTGAAGAAACACTGCCTCCAGGACTATGCTAAACCCCTGTCACTAGGATGATCCTAGAGTGTCTAGATTAGTCCTATTGCTCTAAGGAAATCACCCTTTAAAGTGATATTGAGTAGGCAGTCTATTCTCTACATCAGTGGTTCTCAACCTTGGCTACCCATTAGAATCACCTGGGAATCTTTTTAAAATCCTGATATCTGGGCCTTATCCTCTGGAAATTCTGTTTCTTTGTTATGGGGTGGGGCCACAACATTAGTAACAAAGAAACAGAATTTCCGGAGGATGAGGCCCAGAAATCAGGATTTTAAAAAGATTCCCAGGTGATTCTAATGTGCAACCAAGGTTGAGAACCACTGCTCTACATGCTTAAAATTGAACTCAATTTCATCCCAACAGGCTCCTCCACCTGTATCCTCTCTTGCTAGGCCCTTCCCCATGTGTTCACCCACCTCCCTCACCTCTGTAACCACTCTCCAAGCCTTAACTAGCTTCATTATTAGACTGCTCACACCTATCACCCAAATTTGGTTAACTGCCTCCAGGAGTAAACTCGCCTCTGATTAGTCCACATCTTCTTAATCAGTGCTACCAAACTGTCTTCCTGAAAATTCAAATCCAGTGGGATATTTAGTCCTTAATAATGCCTCACTGCTCATCAACCACAAGAAAATCCAAACCATTTACTTACTAAAGATCCTCTACCACTTGGACCCCCTCTGTCTACATGCCTCTTCCACCAATATCCTCCCTATCCTTCATTTACTCAACACACAGTTACTGAATGTTACTACTTAACAGACGGGATATATGGTAAACGGGAACATGGTTCCATGCTCCAACTCCCCCTCCCACCCTGTGGGAATAATGGTGAAGGCCATCTGTAAGCAGACTGTGCGACCTTGGGAACCTGGCTAGCAACTCAGTCTAAGAAAAGTCAAAGAGAAACGGCTTCTAGATGTCAGCCTGGATTATAAACAGCTAGTGTTTTGATCTCATACAGCTTACACAGGGGCCTGTCACCCTCCCCCTGGCATGCCCTGTTTCTGTTTTTTGTACTCTATAAAACCTGTGTTGGGAAAGTCTGGGTGGTGGCAAAAACAATAGCACCGACCAGCTACCCCCGTCGGGACTTCATGGGACAGCTTCTTTGGCAGTAGCCGGTGCAGCAGTAAACTTCACTGGTCAGTCACCACCAGTGCGCACGTAAGTCCTAATAAACCCATGTCTTTCACAGCTAACCATTTCTTTGGAATCCACAAACAATACCTGAGATTTTCTGGGACCTCAGCACTTTGCATAACACAGGGGCACGCTCAAAAGAGAACATAATTTCTTCTTTGGAGAAGATTAATTTAGTAAAGTAAATAGGAATATAAGCAGCTATATTTAATTTTAGAGACATGAGCAATATGCTGTGAAAATAAATAATTCCCTCTTCAGTGAGCTGAGAAAGATTTCACGCTTCACTGAAGTGACCCTCAGCTGGGCACTGAAGGATACAGAAGATCAATCCAATTTCAGAGAAATTATGACAGAGACAACTGTATTTTAATAAGTACATAAAAAGAACTAACCCCCCCCCCAAAAAAAGGTGAAATGTATGAATAAGCAATACATAGTAGGGCAACAGTAGGAAACAGGGAAATGTGAATTTAAGTAATTTTCTAACCATCTTCAGTGGTTCTCAACCTTCCTAATGCCGCGACCCTTTAATACAGTTCCTCATGTTGTGGTGACCCCCAACCATAAAATTATTTTCGTTGCTACTTCATAACTGTAATTTTGCTACTGTTATGAATCATAATGTAAATATGATTCATAATGTAAATATATGAATCATAATGTAAATATCTGATATGTGTTTTCCGATGGTAGCGACCCACAGGTTGAGAACCGCTGATTCTAACTGGAAAAAAATAAAAGAAGTTTGATAAACCAATTGACCACGGAAATCAATGCTCTTATGCAAGTGTACACTGGTACAGCCTAACATTTTGGAGAGTGAAATGGCAATATCCATTAAAATAAAAAATCTAAAATATGTATCCCTTTGACCAAATAATTTCACTTTTTTGTCTCTACCCTAGGTAAATACTAACACATGCACACAAGGATACAAATACAAGAAAATGCTGTTCAATGTAGCCCTATTTGAGATAGTTAAAACAAACAAAACAAAACAAAACAAAAAAACAGTTTAAATGCTCACCCATAAAAGAATGATTTTTTAAAAAAAATACGGTACATTTATATTATTAAGTATGATACAGCAGGTGAAAAAAACTGAGCTGGATCTACATAAACCAAAATAAGCAATTCTAAGACATACTAAGTGAAAAAAAGCAGGATGTAGAATATGCACAATTTAATATTTGTTTCTACATATACATACACCTGTATGTAAATGCACAGAAAAGGGTCTGAAGGAACACAGATAGTTAAAAAGCCTGAATGTAGAAGGTACATAGGAAAAATAAAGGGAGAGGAGGCTGAAGGTGGGTGGGGAGTGGCAGCAGAGGGTTTAAAGGGCTGCTTATGTTTAGCTTACTGCTACCATATTAAATTTTATTCTCTATGTACTAGTAAACATTTTAAAGAAGAGGATCACTGTAGTGACACCATTTTCCTGGCTACAAAGCCTTTCTTCCTGCTATTCCCCCTGAATATACTTATCTACAGGGAGAATCTGTCCATTCCTTCATAAGGCCCTGGCCACAATTTAATACCCTGTTTAAACTCTTAATGGGTGGGGAGGCTAATTCTGTTTCACCATCAAAACTAACACACAGCAAGCTCATAACAAACATTTATAGATTTAAACCCTGAAAAGCTTAGGGAATCTCTTCTGTAGTGGGAAGGTCCTCAGGTATTAGAACATCAGATCTGAGGACTGAACTGAAAAACTTGCTTCCCATTCTTTGATTCTAAATTAAGCAAATATTACTGGTACTGAATTAGAAACGAAAACAACTGAAAGTAGAAGTAGACAACAAAGTAAAACATTTGGAGTCGGATCATTAAACTATATGGAACATACCCAAATAGATCAAACTGTTACTTAGCTTTCTTCCCTGTTCAGCCAATCACAAACCTTAATCTGCGTCACTTGACCCTGCCCTTCTTGTGTGTAAATACATACAGGCTTTGCTCAACTATACACATTTATTACATAGCTGCAATCATAATACACATACTTTTGTATACTTTTATTTGCTTCAATATTTTTATAATTTATAATTAATTTAAAGGGCTGCAAAATATGCCATCCAAGTATTTATACAATAGAGTACCATTAACCACTCCCATAGTGGATTGGACATTTAGGCTGTTTCCAGCGATATACTTTTTAAATCAGCTATTACAATGATGGAAAACTGGAAACAACTCAGGTTGTCAAATAAGGCAGGCATGAAATATCAGTCACAAAAAGATGCTGAAGACTCACAGGTGTTGCTAATTGCGCAAAAACAACTTACAGATATATATATTCTAGAAATGTAATCAATGATTATTTCTGGGAAGAATTGTAGCCAATTTTTCTTTTCTCTGCATTTCTTATCTTTTCTACAACAATCAAGGATTATATTTTTAAACATTTTAAAACAATATACTTACAAAACACTATCATATGAAAAAACATTCAAAGAAAAGCCGAAGACAAAATTATAGAAATCATATAAAACAAGTAATTTTTTATTAAGGCAAGAAAGTCCATAGGAGACTTTACTTCTATTTTCCCATGTTTTTTGTATATTCTCCAGTGAGCTCACAGGAACTCTAAGGAGGTTCCAGCAGTGGAATCACAGAGTCAAAACACTCTGCTCTTTGATTTCTGGTAGAGATGATCCCAACATCTTCCCCTGTTACCAGCACAATTATTGACTACATGAGTAACTCTCACCTTAAAGCAGTTCTCCTCTGACATGAGCTGTTCGGCTTTCCGCTGATATGCTGACTCCAAGAGACTCCTCGAAGTCTGTGTGTTCAGCTGGCCTCCAGTAGCCCCATTACTGTTTTCTGCCAGGTAAAGGTCAGTCACTTGTACACAGATCTCATCACTCACAATGTGCTGCAGCTGGAATCAAGCAAAGGCAACTAGACAATGAATCAAGAAAATACTTCTCCTTGTCATACACTCAACCTTCCTTTGATAGTTCCAGTCACTCAGCTCAAAAAGAGGTTTTGGGAATTGGTAATTTTTAAAAATCAGTCACACAAAACCATTATTATTTTTTTCTTGGAGAATAACTAAGCCAAAATCTTCAACCATATCACTGGTCCATGAGTAAAATATTCATATCTATTTAAAAGCAAAACTATAGCCCTAGCCAGTTTGGCTCAGTGGATAGAGCGTCGGCCTGCGGACTCAAGGGTCCCAGGTTTGATTCCAGTCAAGGGCATGTACCTTGGTTGCGGGCACATCCCCAGTACGGGGTGTGCAGGAGGCAGCTGATCGATGTTTCTCTCTCATCGATGTTTCTAACTATCCCTCTCCTTTCCTCTCTGTAAAAAATCAATAAAATATATTTTTAAAAATAAATAAATAAAAGCAAAACTACAGACAATGGTTATTAATGTGCTACCTATTTAATAAAGTTCTAAGGAACTTGAAAACAAATTTTTTACATGAAAGAAAATTCCCATGGACGCCTATTTTTAGGGCACTTCTCTACCATTTACAACTTGCTTTCATACATATTCTCACTTGATCCACAACTACCTTCGGAAGAGTCTGGAGAGGGGTGTTCTGATACATGAGACAAATTTACATGTTCGATAATAAAACTCACTGTGTACCCAAGGTGAGGAGAGGGGCCTTCGAGAACCATGAAAGCAAGATCTGAAACTCATTAAGTATTTAAGAAACTGTTGCTGAATTAACTGCCAAGGGCCTCAGCTGAAGGAGCAGAGTCAGGACTAACATTCAAGCTTTCTGACCCCTAGGGCCAATGTTCTTTCTAACCACCTATTTTTCTACATCTGATAAAGTATAGTACTTAAATTATATATAATGTTAATTAACTCATTTCAAAACAGGTCAATCATGATGGACTATTGCTAACTTTTGTGACTATCTTATTAAATTATCTGATGACTAGAAAGTTGAATCTTTCAGTTTACATTTCCATGAATCATGGCAATACTTCTATTGTGAAATAAAAATTTCCTCAAATAAAACTACCCATTACAATGCCAGAGAATGTTAAAAACAAAAGAAACAGATAAAGCAGAAAGCAAAAAGTTAACCGAAATATCAGCTTGTCTATTTTATTTTAAAATTCTCATAACTACTAAGCTATTCTATTTTTAGGAAGGTGTGTTCTTTTTGAAGTGCTAGTAACTGTAACAACCACTTATTTTTAAAAGTCTTAAATAACAAGTATGTGTATTTGTACATAAATAAACACAGTGCAAGGTCAGAGGGTGAATGATTTGAGGGCAGTCTAAAAAGCCACAATTGGAGATGATTAAATAAATAACAATTAGTACAGACAATTGATTCTAATGGAGAATTAAAATAATGCTTATGACAACTTGATAACATAGACAAAAGCTTAAGATAGTGTTTTAGAGAGAGAAAAAAAAGCAGTTTAAAGAAAATATATTCAAAGCATGGTCTCTACCATGTAGACATTTATACTTTACTAGAGGACCGGTGCACGGATTCGTGAACTGGTGGGGTCCCTAGGCCTGGCATGCGCCCTCTCGAAATCTGGGACTCCTTGGAGGATGTCGGAGGCCCGGTGCATGGATTTGGCCCAATCCCTGCAGGCCAGGCTGAGGGACCCCACTGGTGCACTGGGTTTCTAGTACGCATATAAGATCTTTGGTTAATCTCTTCCCGCCCTCTCCCCTCCCCGTCCCCTGAGATTCATCAGTCTGTTCCATGTTTCCATGCCTGTGCATTGAGCGTCTGCCCCCTGGTGGTCAGTGCACGTCATAGCTACCGGTCGAACAGTCGGACACTTAGCATATTAACCTTTTGTTATATAGGATACCTTCTTGTTAAAGACCAGGTCACTAACTCCCCATCCCTACTCTGTTCTTGGATATTTGGCCCCTTCTAGAGTCTTTGGAAAGGGCATCACTATAATTCAGGGACAACTAGATAACTCCACACCCAAGCTAGGCTGGTCAGATTCTCACTCCTGCTAATCTGAAATGGCACAGTAAGTGTGCATGGTAGACAGAAGAGCATCTGGATGGAAATATCAGGTAATGTTTGGGTCAGAGGCACTGCCATGGAAAACCAAGGCTGGTGGTAGGTGGAATGGGGGTTGAGGATCCAATGTTCATTTGCAGAGAAAAGCATTAGAATGAAGCAGATGTCTAGAAAAAAAGCATTCAGGCAAGGGGGGAAAATGTCCCAATCCAATTCCTATGTGATCTGGGCATATACTGAGTTCTGTGCTAGCTACCTATTTTATGACAACTTGATAACATAGTATACATTATGCCTTGAGTTCTCAACTTCCAAAGGGAGTGTTTTATTTGTTTTATTCCTAAAACAAATCCCTCTTAAACTAGCCTGGAAATGGTAAGATAAAGGTATGGATTGACCCTGAAATATATGTTCTACCTCCAGTCAGGAATGAACTTAGGGAGAATACCAAGTGAGATGAGGTGAATGAGAGAAGATATGCCTTCAATTGAGGGGTTAAGATGAGAACCATGAACACAGATTTTCAACATATTGAATTAGGGTTTCTGGATGAAACCTGTTTCCATATAAAAGGACTAAACGTTATGTATTATTGACTCAAAATCATAACCTGGTGCTTCTAGTAAATGAACTAATTATATTTCTTGTTTCAAAAAAAACCAATCTTGGCTTATAAAAAGTTAGTTTTAATGATGTTACTCCTAGCTGTAGCAGCAGCAAACTAACTTGTAAGCAGAAAAATAAGCATATGACAACTTTTAGGGGATATTAACAGGGTTAGTCTCTCAAAAATTATGACCATAGCTAATTATATCCATACAATGATTTCTGCCAGTCATGATACAGACCTCTTAAGGAAAGGCCTAATAACTTCAACTTTCAGGAAAAAACTGTCTGCTTGATAACTTTCGTGAAGATGCCAAAATTGAGAAGTGTTTTCCCTGACTCTGAGAAGCTGCTATGGGAGGGATGCAGAGTCATGGGTACTCCACAAAGGATTTCATACTTTACCCCAAGGAAACAGTAGAGCAACAAACTTTTCTTTCCATAGTGGCAGTGTAGACTTTAGAATTATCTTTTTGCTTTTTATAAGTTTTCACTTTATTTATTTTTTGTTAATCCTCACCCAAGGATATTTTTCTATTGATTTTGAGAGAGTGGAAGGGAGGGAGAAAGACACGGAGAGAAACATCGATGTGAGAGAGACACATCAATTGGTTGTCTCCTGTACGCACCCCAACCACAGCTGGGGATTGAGCAACCGAGGTACGTGCCCTTGACTGGAATCAAACCTGGGACCCTTCAGGAGGGGATGGGCGTGGGGGTGTGCCGCTCTATACACTGAGCCAAACAGACTAGGGCAAGTTTTCACTTTAAAGAAAGTAGTGCACCAACTACACACTCCCTTTGGAAGTTGAGAACTCAAGGCATAATGTATACTATTTGCTATAAAATTATCATTGCAATAGAGAACATCAAACATATTTACAAACACCCAGGGTGCCACAGCAACAAGCCACAAACCTAACTCAGAGAGATGATCTATGAAACCCTTTCTGTAAAAAGAACTTCAAATATTAAATGAAGAAAGTATGTAGAATTACCAACACCTATAGAAGAGAAAAGGCTACCAGCAGAGAGCTCACCCCTGGTAGACGAGAACAGAGCTGGGCCTCCTGGGCAGAGATCAGGGTCGGGACCAATGCTGGCTCAACAGCCAGCCAGCAAGAAAGAGCCAAACATCAGGTGTGAGGCAGGCTCATCCGACTACGAGGGCACACTGAGCAAAGCAGAGGAGTCAGTTATGTGGCTGAAGTGCTGCCACTTTGTTAATGGGAGACATCCCCACAGCACATTCACTTCCTCTCCCCTCTATAGAAGCATTCGTACATAAGCATCATTATAAACCCTTTCTTTGTGCCTGGTCCATCTTTAGGCAAGGCTATCTTCCTGTACTCACCCTCACCCTCACCTGTCTGACGATGCTCTGGATGAGCTTGTCCATGGTGAAGGCAATGTAGGCATGAATGGTGAACATCTCTCGCAGTGAATCTTCATATTGTGATGAGTCAATGTTGCCATCCAGCAGGCTCCGCACCATATCCAGGAAAGCTGGGTAATAATCTTCTACATCAACATCCACTGTGGGAGAGATGGGACAGATGAGACTTTACCCTGCTAGGAAAAGATCAGGAGAGCAGGCAGGGCAGGTCCCAGAGCTGGTCTAAGGAGCATTGAATAAACCAACCCTAGATACTCAAAGCATGCCTCCTCAATCTGCAGAAAAACAATCTGACAGGCAGCTACAATCAGCAGCTCTATCAGAGGACAGTGATTCTGCAACTTCACCAGCAGCTTCCAGAACTCTGACCATGCCAGAAAGACACTTAGTGACAGGGTGGGCTCTGCATAAGAGAGCAAAATATCCCAGGGAAGAAGTTTCTTCAAAAAGTTGTTGGCTCCCCTGCTGAGAGAAAACTATCACCACCCTCCCACCCCCCCAACCCCCGCCTGTGAAGAGCATTCCTCACATGAGTCACTTGCTCACCAAGCTATTTCCATGAAACATAGAGGGACAGATGAGAAAAGCAGATAGAGTCACACTCTAGCATTGGGAAACCCTCAGGAACAGAAAAAAGGGTGAGCAAATTAAATCCTCTATGAATAATAAAGTCATCTCCATCTGTCAAAGTCCTTTTGTTTCAAAATGGATTCCCTATGTTGTACTTCACAAATTGCACAGTGATCTGTCCTGCACATGAACCACTTTTGCCACCAGCTGGAATTTTATCAGTTGTGACAGAGACGCTGGAAACTACCAGAGTGCACAGGAATGGTGAAAGGACTCTTGACTGCAGCTTACTAAAATAAGACCCATTTATTTACACAAGGCTCAAAAACATGCAGATTTGAAAAAGGCATGAGGAGGCTACTGGTATATTGGTTGTGTGTTGTTTCTTGATCTAGGTACTGGTTACACAGGTGTGTTCACTTTGTAAAAGTTCACTGAGCTATACAATTTGGATTTGTATGCTTTTCAGTATGTGTTACACTTCAATAAAAAGCTTTCACTTGCCCTGACAGGTTTGGCTCAGTGGATAGAGTGTCGGCCTGCGGACTGAAGGGTCCCAGGTTAGATTCCAGTCAAGGGCATGTACCTTGGTTGCGGGCACATCCTCAGTACGGGGTGTGCAAGAGGCAGCTGATCGATGTTTCTCTCTCATCGATGTTTCTAACTCTCTATCCCTCTCCCTTCCTCTCTGTAAAAAATCAATAAAATATATTTTTTTTAAAAAGAAAGCTTTCACTAAAATGACATTTGGTCACCAGTTTGTAAAGTATATACAGGGGCAAAAAGGCTAAGAGCAAAAGCTGAGTCCATTTATCTGCAGTGTGATAGACTCATTCAAGACAAGCAAAACAGGACAATTACTGTTTAAGAGCAGCAACTGGCTTGAGTTTCATTAGAATATCACCTTGTTCAGAGCCACAGCATAGGCATGAGCCAAGCTAGTGCCATGAAAAAATGCTGTTCTGCCAGAATAAAACAATGTGCAAATGCACATGAGCTATGATCAGTGAAGCTGGCATTGTCATTCAAGACCAAACTATGTAAGCCTCAAACCAATTTAAGTCAGTGGTCAAGCCAGGATTAGGCCATTTTCTCTTATTTCTACCCAAGCAGGTGGAATCACCACATTGAGGTCCAAAACTTGTCTGTCAAGCTAGGATTAATCCAGATAAAGGTTTTTAGAATTCCCAGGGTCATTAGCTCTTCAACAGATTGAAGGCAAGAACCACACATGGGCTTCTTACATTAGCAACAGTTAAAAAAAAGAAAAGCTAATTTGCTCCACAGATTGGCTATTTCCTCAAGGGCACCGAAGAAAGGCTTCATGAAAAAGATTTTGGCTCACACCTCAAGTATTTAATTTATGAACTGAACAGTTATCTACAAATAGGTGGCACAGAATTACTTAAAGCACATGATGGATGGCTTCCTTAACCCCTATTTATTTTCCTTTTCTTGGTTCTCGATCTTCATTTCTGTTTTGCCTATTCTGCTGGCTCACACCATCTCTTGAGTTCCAGTCTCCTTTCCATACCCCCTTCTCCTTTTATTAGGAATGAGCCATGAACCCCTCTGGTTAAAGAGAAGTACTGCCCAAACACATCAGAAAATTCCCAACTGTCTTAGGCATGAACCACTAGGAATTTATGTTCTGTCATGCAGTGGAGCCAACTGGGTTTTTGTCTCTCTCTGTCCTTTGAAATTCTTTGTAATGACCCAGAGATCTGCCATTTGGGAAACTGATGGCAACTGTCATCCCCTCCGGGTGTCAAGTGTCCACAATCCAAGCACTGTAAAGGGTGGTTTGCATATTTTCTTCACTTCTCCCAACAACCTCATAAAGTAACAAGTAGCACCTTCATTTTACAGGTAAACAGGTTCAGAGTGTTAAGTAAGGTCACACAACCAGTAAGTTGCAGAACTAGGATTTGAACTCCTCTGAAGCCTGCCTGTGCCCCATGTATAAAAGGAAAGTCCCGAGTCTAACTAGGCCCCAAGGTCACCAACCCCTCACATCTTCTGTGAACACATCTTCTGTAAACCAGCAGTCTAGGCACTCACTAGGTTCTTTAAGACGGAGCTGAATGGCAGGACTGTCACTCTTGTCTCGCTTTATGCCCAGCACTTCCCGCTCCCACTCCCTCTCTCGGTTTTCTTCTTCGATCTGCCGTTCTGCTTGGGAACAAATCCGCAGAAGTCTCAAGCAAAGAATCTGGTGCAGTCGCATAAAGATGTACCAGTTGTTGTTAACATAGAAGAGGTTGTACACTTCATCCATCCCTCTTAGCTTCTGTGCTGTTGTGTTACTAAACAGTAGCTTGGACTTAGGGGAGCTGCCCCCAACCCCATTGTGCTTCTTAGCCACCCCTGTGGCCTCATCTACATCCATCTCTTCTTCTTCCTCTTCTTCTACATCCGAGAGATCACCCCTCTGAGCAAAGAGCAGATCTGGAATGAAGTGATGCATGATCTGCTTGATTTTGTACTTGTCCTCCTTCTGAATGCCTGCCTGTCTCTTCACATGGTGGATAATCAGGGCAGCAGCGTCCTCCAGGATCTGCTTGTCTTCATAGGCCAGAGAGAGGTGTGGGCCAGCAGGTACGCCAGCATTTTCTTCAGTAGCCTGCTCTTGCCGCTACCAGGAGAGAGAGAGAGAGATACAAAGTAGTAAGTGCCATATCCATAGCAACAACCAACAGAGCTATGAGACAACACATCAGTACATTCAATTATTAACCATAGTGACTATTATTTTCCAATCCAAAACTTCTAGAAACAATAAGGTAATGTGGAAGATGTGGTTTGAGAACAAAATATTGGTACCTTCTAGACTTTGAAGACTGATAGGGGACATTGGGACAATCTAAAATTCTGAATTAACATTTATGGAGGAAGCAGTCAGTATGAGGTCAAGGATTCACTTTAAAATACTTCGGTGGAAGTGCAAAAAGTGTTAGATGTAAAAACATTGACAAAATAGAAATGATTATTCAAATTTATGTAAGAGCTCACTTTATTATTTTCTCCCCTTTCATGTACATTTGACATTTTCACAATAAAAAGCTTTTTAAAATTCAAGATCACATCACTTCCAGGAATTTTCAACCACACTACATTTATGTCTCTATCCATCCCCTAAGACTGTGAGCTCAAAGAAAACAGGATTATTTTCTTATTCATCACAGTATCCTAGCTCCTGAACTACATATAATCTTTGTAAGTATGCTGAATAAACGAGGATTAGAAAGAGTTTGGTATCAGTGAGAAGAGTTTAAGTAGTGGGAAGCTGAGGCAAGCCAATCAAATTACAAGGTACTCAAGCAGTGAATGGGGCGAAGTGGGGTTGTCAACTGAAACCAGGAGGGTAAACTAGGAAACCAGTAAGACAGCTTAGGCAGAAAGGTAAGGTTAAGAGTTAAAATGGTAGAATCAGGAATAGAAGCCTATGACAGTTACTAAGCAAGAATCAACAAGTCTTAGAGCAGTGGTTCTCAACCTTGGCTGCACAGTAGAATCACCTGGGAATCTCTTTAAAATCCTGATTTCTGGGCCTCATCCTCCGGAAATTGTTTCTTTGTTACTAATATTGTGGCCCCACCCCATAACAAAGAAACATAATTTCCGGAGGGTGTGGCCCAGAAATCAGGATTTTAAAGAGATTCCCAGGTGATTCTACTGTGCAGCCAAGGTTGAGAACCACTGTCTTAGAGGGTCTCGATTTCATATAACAAAGGTAACTTCCAGGAATCAAAGCTATACAAAGATTGGAGCCCTCTTACAGGTGTAGAAACTTCCAGCTCACCTCATCATAGATACTCTCAATCTCGTTGAGTAAGCTCTTAGACCTCAGGACCTTGGTGTCATTCTGTTTAAAGTTGATACCCTGATGGTCCAGAGACTTCAAGTAGTATTTCTCATTTTGCTCTCGCCACACCTTGTTAAAGCCCCTCTGGGCTTCTCGCCATTCTTCCTCTTTCATCTTCAACCTAGTCGGGTATGGAGTGGGGTGGAAACACAGGTGGAAGTCAAACTCTTTGGAATGGAATCCTGGCTTTGCTGTACCAGTGAAATAGGGATAACAGCACCTAACCCACACCTGAAACCTATATGATCATGTTGACCAATGTCACCCCAATAAATTTAATAAACAGATAGGTATGATAGGCCTGTCAAAATTATTGGTGACTTGGGATAAATGTTATTCAAACCAGTCTTTAACTCTGTTACATGAGGAAATTACTCATTCAGGATTTGGGGGAAGTAATTTGTCCCAAAGTCAGAAATCCTACTTAGAACAGTATTTCTCAAACAGCATTCCATGGAATATTCTTAAATATTCTCATCCTTGGCCAGCTAACACAAAGTTAAACAAGTTTTTTTGGTACAGAACCTCTAAGAATGTTTACCATGCGAACATTCTGATGAGAACTGATCTTAACCCTCCAGAAGAGGAGAGTAAAATGAAAAACAACATGGACACTGAAGAATATTCTACATCTCAAAGCTAAAAGTTAAATGCTTCTGGTAAAGAGAAATAATCTGTGGCAGTATCTGAGGGGAAGACTAGGGAGGAACGCTAAATTGGGGCATCTGTGCAGCAGACAAGAATTCCTTTTCACCAGGTGATACTGAGTGAGGAGGACCCAGCTCTTAGCTAGGATTCACAATGTGGTCCAGACTTGGAGGAACCTGGGCTTAGCCCTGGCTCTGGCCCCCTCCTTTGATGGGCACAAAAGCCCCTCCACAACTCAGGCTGAAGGCTTATTAGGAGAAAGAAAAAGACATTCTTGGTAGAAAGGCACTCTTAAGTCTTTTAAAATAATACTTATGAATTTTACAAAGACAAAGGATCTCTTTTTAAAAACCAAAGATGTTATAAGGGTTAGTACTGAACGGTAGGAACATGGGTGGTGATTTTCTTCTTTGTTCTTTTTTATACTTTAAAGTATGGCCTCAAACACAGAGCATTCCAATATGGACTTTAAACGTTTGCCCTCTACTGTTGATTACACAGAACCCCATCAAGAAGCTCCACCAGCATGCTCAATCTGGCAGCACACATACTAAAATTGGAACAATACAGAGAAGATTAGCAGGGGCCCTGTGCAAGGATGACACCCAAATTCGTAAAGTGTTGTGTGTGTGTAGTTTTAAGAAGCCCCACTACCCCACACTGTACCTGACTTTCAATAACCAGAATGGGGAGAAATGGAGGTCTCATGGGATAACAAGGTAAAAAATGAGCTTCATTTAATGGGACACCAACTATGTCCTGAAGCACAGGAGAGCACGAAGGGCACATTTGTTTGGATACCTTTTAAGTACAATGGGGACAGCAATGGAGGGGTTCTTCCTCAGACCATCAATGATGTCGGCTGCTTTGTCAGCATATATCCTCTGGAGTGCTTTTCGATGGATGACTTCTGATGTGCCCCCAAGGGTGTTGTCCAAGCGAAATTTGGCTTGTTCCTCAGCAGACAAGCGGGAAAGCTTCTTCTGTATTGCTTCCAGAACCCGGATTGTTGCCAGATTGGTCTCTAAAACTACATCAAGCTAAAGAAAAAGACAAAGTGTGCTCAGGACCCAAATCAGAATAGAATAGAAGTTAGGAGTATAAGGTAAGGAGTCAAACTCCCTGGACTGGAATCCTGGCTCTGCCGTAAAAGCCACAGAAGACTGTTTTCTTACCAGTAAAATAGGGATAACAGCTACTCTTTTAAGGTTGTTGTCTGGGTCAAACGATACAATCCACATAAATGGTTTTGTGCAATGCCTGGCACATAACATCAATAAATGATGACTAGCCCAAGCCGGTTTGGCTCGGTGGATAGAGTGTTAGCCTGCAGACTGAAGGGTTCTGGGTTGGATTCCGGTCAAGGGCACATACCTCGGTTGCAGGCTCTTCTCTGGCCTGGGCCCTGGTCAAGGCAAGTGCAAGAGGCAACCAATCGATGTGTTTCTCCCACATCAATATTTCTCTCTGTCGTTCCCTCTCTCTTCCACTCTCTCTAAAAATCAATGGAAAAATATCCTTGGGTAAGGATTAAATAAATAAATAAATAAATAAATGATGAATAAGTGGTAGTCATTACTTCTACCACCACCAGTGTGCTTGGCTTAGGACTACTAATCCCAGTGTAGAGGGACTTAACAGGAAGCAACCTTACAGACAGACACTTTACCCTGAACTTTTCTGAATTGTTAAGATCTGTTACAAACAATAACAATCAAAAAACAAAACAGCCCTAGCCAGTTTGGCTCAGTGGATAGAGCGTTTGTCGGCGGACTGAAGGGTCCCAGGTTCAATTCTGGTCAAGGGCACATACCTCGGTTGCAAGCTCCTCCCTGGCCGGAGTCCTAGTCAGGGCTCGTGCAGGAGACAACCAATCTATGTGTTTCTCACACATCGATGTTTCTCTCTGTCTTTCCCTCTCTCTCCAATCTCTAAAATCAATGGAAAAATATCCTCAGGTGAGGAATAAAAAACACACACACTCAAAACACAATTTGGATTGAACTTCCTGGTTCTCTTATGATTAGATAGGGCCACATAACTAGTTCTGGCAAATGAGTTATTAACAGGTGGATCAGAATACTTATTACTTCCACGCTAGAGCATTTAAAGGTGCAAGACCCTTCTGAGCAATCTTTTTCCTTCCAATGACTGGCAATGTTCAAGATGGTGGCACTCTGTCAGCCTGGGACCCTGAGTAATTCTGATGAGCAGAATACCCCACTAAACATCAATGTACATGTAACAGGATCAAGGAATAAATCTGTTTCTTAAAGCCACTAAAATTCGGGGAAGGAGGAGGTTGTCTGTATTGTAGGATCACTTACCTATCCTGATGTATAAAAGGAATTCTTGAAAACCACTGTATTGATAAGAGATTTTCAGAAAGGAACACTCCTTTTAACTAGCCCATCCCACCCAAGCCTAAATACACACACACACACACACACACACACACACACACACCTGTCACCTTTATTCCTATTATCACAAATAGGAAATGAGACTGTTGCCTCTCATTTGCTTGCATACCACTTGAGAATCAAAAAAGATTCTAATCTCTGCTTTCTAACTCATCTCACCTTACTAGACATAGGTAACAAAGAAATGCTTTCTTTGAACTTTCCATGGAAGTCACCATCTATCAAGATTTAGTTCTCTGCAAATGGTTGAAGCTCCTCATAAACCCTGGAGCACAGATGGCCAATCACCTGCCAGGGCCAAGCAACACCTGACTCTTCATTCAAAACATGCCAGAGACAGCTGGAGTGAGTGTGGGGGATAACTGGCAGAGGGATAAACTAGTATGGGCTAACAAAGAGCAAGGTATCACCCATCTACAGGGAGAAGCAGGGTCAGTAAGTTTTATATAATACATTAAACCAGCGGTTCTCAACCTGTGGGTCGCGACCCCTTTGGCGGTCAAACGACCCTTTCACAGGGGTCGCCTAAGACCATCCTGCATATCAGATATTACATTACGATTCATAACAGTAGCAACATTAGTTATGAAGTAGCAACGAAAACAATTTTATGGTTGGGTCACAACATGAGGAACTGTATTTAAAGGGCCAGAAGGTTGAGAACCACTGCATTAAATATAGGATACATGTAATTTTACCACTTAAGCACATTTAACATGCCCTTTTATTTTTTAAAAATTGATTTGAGAGAGCGAGCGAAAAACATGGATTGGTTGCCTCTGGCACATCCCCCTATGGGGGACCGAACCTGCAACCAGGGCAAGTGCCCTGACTGGGAATCGAACCCACCACCTTTTTGTGTACGGAACGACGCTCCAACCAACTGAGCTACACTGGCCAGGGAAAAATATTCCCTTTTCTTGTTGATAATATCAGTGAACATGGGGGTTTCAGAACCCATTTTCAGTATTCCCACTGCTGGCATAGGGGCTCTACCAGCTCATTTATTCATTCAAGCCCTTCCTAACTACTTTAAAATAAAATCCCTAATTTAACTTTCTTTCAAAGGGAGCCAACCACATCAACATCAGAACTATGAAAGAAGAATTCCAGTTCCTATAGGAGAGCTGGTTTGCTAACCACCTGCTAAGAATAATAATACATCAAAACAAAAATGAGGTACCATCTCACACCTGTCAGAATGGCTATCATCAACAAATCAACAAACGACAAGTGCTGGAGAGGATGTGGAGAAAAAGGAACACTCGTGCACTGCTGGTGGGAATGCAGACTGGTGCAGCCACTATGAAAGACAGTATGGAGTTTCCTCAAAAAGTTAAAAATAGAACTCCCATTTGACCCAGTGATCCCGCTTCTAGGAATATATCCCAAGAAACCAGAAACACCAATCAGAAAGGATATATGCCCCCCTAAGTTCATAGCAGCACAATTTACCATAGCTAAGATTTGGAAACAGCCTAAGTGCCCATCAGCAGATGAATGGATTAGAAAACTCTGGTACATCTACATAATGAAATACTATGCTGCTGTAAAAAAGAAGGAATTCTTACCATTTGCAACAGCATGGATGGACCTAGAGAGCATTATGCTAAGTGAAATAAGTCAGTCAATGAAAGAGAAATACCCCATGATCTCACTCATTTATGGATAATAAAGTCCATTATAAACTGATGAACAAAAATAGATACAGAGGCAGAGCAGCATCGAACAGACTGTCAAACTACAGCGGGAAGGCTGGGGAGGGTTGGGGGGCAGGGGAAGAGATCAATCGAAGGACTTGTATGCATGCATATAAGCATAACCAATGGACACAAGACACTAGAGGGTAGGAGAGGCCGGGGAAGGTCAAGGGGAAAAAAAAAAAGGAGACATATGTAATACTCTTTGTAATACTTTAAGCAATAAAAAAAAATAAAAAAAAAATAACAATACACTTTAAAATAAATAATTTCCAGCAGCCTCAAAAAAGCCCAGTAGGCCTTACTACAGTACTAAGTTTTTATATACCTTTGTAAAATATAATAACCTTTAAAATGCCATTAAAAATTCAAATGAGCCCTAGCTGGTTTCGCTCAGTGGATAGAGCGTTGGCCTGCAGACTGAAGGGTCCCGGGTTTGATTCCAGTCAAAGGCCCATGCCTGGGTTGATCAGGAGGCAGTCGATCAGTGATTCTCTCCCCTCACTGATGTTTCTATCTCTCTCTCCCTCTCACTTCCTCTCTGAAATTAATAAAAGCATATTAAAAAAAAAAAAAAAAG